CTCTGATTTTTGTTACTGACAGCTCCAAAGTGGAGAACTGCCAAATGTTTAAGGTCTACCAGAGTTTATTTTGCTCCAGAATGCACCTGTAGGTTTGATCAGCATTCAGTGCTGTGTGAGTGTGTGATGTAATCTGCCCTTCTGCTCAAGCAGGTGAAATGTGATTTACAGTACCAAGTAATGTGTTCAGTAATTCCAGTACCTAACTGTAATTGGTGCATCAGAGGAAGGCAGCCTGTGTGGGAAATACAGGACTAGATAAGCCTTGTGCTCTTTATGGGAACCCAGTATCTCTACTTCTTTAAAAACTACGAGTGATTTAGATACCTAACTACAGGTGTCGGTAGGATTTCAATTTTACATTGAACTAAACAATTTAAGTTCTTGCTGACAAAGTGTTTCCAAGTGGTGTTTCCAGAGTCCTCAGTTCTATAATGGGACCATTCTGAATTTCACCATTGTCCACCTTGCAAGACCAGGCCCAGGATTGGCATTAATTAGTGTGACTTGAGCTGACTCTTCGTGATGTAACTGGCTAATTATTGTGGCTAGAAAAGAATATTTGCCTTCTTTGTATAGCAGTGTTTGATTTGCCAGGTGAATTAAGGGGAATGGGGCACTTCCCTCTGATGGTGGCCACTCTTCATTGCTTCAGAAGGCAGTGCATGAGCCATGCAGTGAGCAACATGGAATAATATGGCCCTTCAGGTGTTTCCTTTTGAATGATTTCAACTCTTTCATTAGCAAAACCTTTCACTGAGCCAGAGGTTGGTCAGAGATGGGGAGGCCAAAGTTTAGCCTTCACCGTGCTCTCAGTTTCTTTTGCTGTTTGCAGGACAGCACAAATTGCAGGAGTGATGGCTTTCAATCCAGATCTTTGGGTCATTCCTCTTCCTGTTGGTGTCACAGTCTCTTCATTGTCTAAAAGAACAGCTTTTGTGTTTTATATGCCCAAGGGCTGCCCATAAAGGTTGGCAAGGGCAGCTGGTTAAGTCTGCACAAGGTCAGTCAGGATGTCTAATAATTGTCCTAACACTTTACCTGTTATGGAACAATAATGAGAGTTTTTTTCATTATTTTCGGGTGAGTGAACCTGGCAGATGCTGACAGCCAGCAGATGTGTAAAGTTCGAGGTGATTTGTAAGGGACTGGCTCATCTGACGCACAGTAATTGCACTGTGGGACATTGTCACTCAGCGTCCTGTCCTGCTCTGGCAGGATGAGGTAAAGGTCAGTTCAAAGAGCTGGTACAGCAGGAGGGACAGTGCCGGGCTGGAATTCAAACCTCATTTTCCTATCTCTTATGTACGCATCCTCACGGCTTGGTGCTGAGTTCTAGATTTAGGGATTGCTTGTGTGACTGAATAGTTGTTTTGGGACCAAGTGGTGAAGCATAGGAAGAGGTCTCCTTACCCACCTGTTGGTGTTTTAGTTCTGTACTCATCTGTCCAAGTATTCTTTGATTCTAGGTATCATTTGCAGCTCAGAAGTTCTGTTAGCAGTGGCTTGTCGCTTTGAGCTTAACAGGCTTGCAGGTGAGCTCATGCAGCATCAGGAGTGTCAGACTGCTCATCTGCTCCCTGCAGCCCTCCACACCCAGCTGTCCTCCTCCAAGTACAGCTCTGAGGGGTGTTTTTTGCAGCAGAGAGGGTTTTAGCAGTTTGCCACTCGTGACACCCAGAGAAGCGAGCATACAGGCAAAACTTAAGATCCCCTGTTCCTGCTCTGGGTCTGGGGCCCATTTTTCTCTACTTGCAAGCATCTAGTCCATTGCTCTTTATCTTACAAAGCATCACATCACAAATTTTGTTCTTTCTCTTCTCCCAGCATCCTCTCACTCAGCAGTGCTAGAAGGTGCGGTAACATGCTCCGCTTCTGGTCCTTACAGTGTGAGCATTAGCTGCTGCATCAGCTCAGAAACACAAGGTTTCCTCTGAGAGCCTTCTGTACCATCACAGTCTGCATGCTGAGCACTGAAGGACTGGTCCTGATGTGCATATAATCACACAGTTACCAGTGGGTGTGATTGTATCACACAGGGATTTGGCGGAGAGCTTACAGAGGGATTTTTTTAGGGGCACCAACTTGGAAAGAATAGGTGAGCTTTCACTGTAAAAGTTTTTATGTAGCTATCTTCATTGTAGATTCAAGTGTTTTTGTTGATCTTCTTTTGTTTAGCATTCCAAGATGCTTTTGAGAGCTATCTTTGTGCTTTGGCCAAACAACTCCTATTTTCTGACCAACTTGACTGAATTCTTTCCAGGCCTTACTTCTTACTAAGAACTCTGTTGGGATGATGATTTCTGGTTGCCACAAAGCCAGGAACTGCCCAGGATATGTCCAATTCTATTGTGCATTTTCAAAGTGCAACTGTGGTTTTCATCTAAAATCCTGAGAAGAAGCTGAATTTGTAGTACAGGAAAAGCTGGTCTTTGCTTTCAGCCTACTGACCAGTTTGGGCACATTTATTTGACTGCACAACTCAACGCTTAGCGATGTTCCTCAATTCATTTTATTGACCTTTGAGAAGAGAGAATATATTCTTATTCAACAAATGTCTGTTTCCAGACAATCATGAATCACGGCATTTTTTGCCTTTAGAATATATATATATATTTTAACAACAGCACACTCTGTTAAAAGTTTATGCATCCAAATTACATTGCTTTGCTTTTTAACTACAGCTGAAACCGTGTTTCGAATAACAGATGTGGAACACTGTCATCTCGCTGTCACACCAATTGTTCATTGTTCTGAGAAGGTCACATCATAATTCATTAACAATAATTATTCCCTGGGTACACCCTGCACTTCTTCACTCAATTGCTTCATTAACTTGCGAGCGAATCTCACATTCGCTGCTCCAATCAATGAAGATATATTTATAATGTACAAGTGGATGCTATTAGTTACAATATATTAACTGCCTAATTTAAAATAGAAAAGCTATCTTTATGAAGGGCAATTAAACACTAAGTGTAATTGATAATTCACATACCTATGATTAGGAAAGACAAATAATAAGAAAGAAATGAATCACCTGTGTTATTGAGGAAGACGTTGGCATGCAGCTTTAATGAGCAGAAGGGGCTCTCTGGGTCAGGACTGGATTTCTAAGAATTCTTGGATGGAAAGTTCTTCATTGGATGTGTGGTGTCTGGGCTTTGGTGTTTGCACCAACCTGTTGGGATCTTCTTTCCTAGAAAAAGGACCCACACATCTTGCTAAGAATCAGCGCAGGTGATTTCCTGATAGAAAAGCCATCATTCTTCCTAACACACACACACGAAAGAAAAACAATAATAGTTTAATACCAATTTAATAAACCTAATCTCAAACTTACCTAGGTATGTGAACCTGTATTAGGCCAGGTCCAGGTCCTCAAAGATAGTTATGTACATATTCTCGCTAAAACTAACAAAATTTAGACATTTTAGTACATTTGAGGAGCTAAGTGAGGGTCCCTTTGGCAGAAATTAAGAAAAAAAGATCGAGATAGATTTTAAAGGCCTCTCTTTTGCAATGACCACATTGAAATATGTTGATTTTCCAAAAGGCAGACAGCTGATCCTTGGAGAATAGACTTTTTCATGGTATCTCCAGTGGGTCACCACAACTTGGTGAATCCCAAGGCAATAGCTTGGCACTGTGAAATGCTTCTGGCGCGGTGCAATGAAGAATGGTTAAAACATTTTATTTTCATGTGACAATGAAAACTGGATGAGATAATTACATTTCTGCAAACGCTGAAGCTCTGTGCAATATGTACTATTGGCACCTTTGCTTGCAAGTGGGGAAGCAAAATTGCTCTGAGGCAGAGGACTTGCATGAGAATGCAGAGCAGTGATCCACAGGAATGGTGTCCTTGGCTCTGGGCATTTGAGGCCGTATTTTCTTTCTTCCCTTGAGAAGTCAAAAACATTTTTTTTCTGTAAACATTTATTAATAAATCAATGAAACTGCTCTATTTTTCAGGATTACCCAACAAATAGCAGCACAGGTGTTTTATGAGAGATTGCATGATAAATGTGACGGAAGCCATCCCTGCATTGATAAAAGCATCATTCTTGTAGCACAGTGTAACTGGCAGGCCTCGTGCCTGGAGTCTGCAGAAGTGCAAAGCTGTGCTGTTACTTCCAGTGTAAGCGCTGATCACTGTAGCAGATGACCAGTGAGTGGAAAGGTGTAAATCCAAGTTAAAATGCTAATAGTGCTATTGCACCAGCTCCTGTGCTCATGGCTGTGCAGTTTGTGTGTACGTCCCAGGACTGCTTTAATGATACAGAACTGGATTTGGAGGTTTTTGATACATGGAAAGAATGTGAGCATGGCAGGCTGAGGTATCCTGCGTATCATGTCATCATCAGTGCTGCCACCATGGTGATGTTAGCTCTGCTCCAGATGCCAGTTCCATGTTATGCAGGGGCTCTGCATATGTAGTGCCCTAAAACTGCTGGGTGACTCACTGCAGCCTTTCAGTACCTAAAGGGAGCCCATAAACAGGAGGGGAGTCAACTCCTTGAAAGGGTAGATAACAACAGGACAAGGGGAAATGGTTTTAGGTGGAAGGAGGAAAGATTTAGGTTGGATATCAGGGGGAAGTTCTTTACCAAGAAAGTGGTGAGGTGCTGGAACAGCTGCCCAGAGAGGCTGTGGATGCCCCTTCCATCCCTGGAGGTGTTCAAAGCCAGGTTGCATGGGACCCTGGGCAGCCTGGGCTGGTATTAGATGTGGAGGTTGGTGGCCCTGCCTGCAGCAGGGGGTTGGAGATTCATGATCCTGAAGGCTCCTTCCAACCCAAGCCATTCTATGATTCTGTGTTCTAATTCCGTGTATTGTAGGGATGCCTACATGGTCATGATAAAGGATCCTGCTCCTGTTGTCATCACTGCATTCTTATTGTAATTATCCATGTTTTATGCGGATTAGCGAAGCTGATACTCCAACTCCTTTTCCATGTCCAATTAACCCAATTAAATCCCGCTGCTTTTACTCAACAGAATCAAAGCATCCGGCCTGAAGCTGCGGTTCTGCACTAACGAAACACAAGCGACCCGAGAGAAATTTGTGAAGAAGCTGCAGGGCCTGGGCTTTGACATCTCTGTGGCTGAAGTCACCGCCCCAGCACCAGCAGCCTGCCGCCTTCTGAAGGAGCGTGGGCTGAGGCCACACCTGCTCGTGCACGATGGTGGGACACCACTGGGACTTGGGTGGGGACAACCCAGAGGGATGTAGGCATTTGTGACCAAACAGTGAAGTCCTATAGCTTGGTAGTGAAAGAGCTCCTAGCTGTTCTGTTCCTATTCTTTCTTCAGTTGTGAGACTCTAGGAGAACTGTAACAGAATGGCTTGAGTGTGATCTCCATCAGTAGTGCAGTGAAGGTAGGCTGATAGAGTGACTTGGCAAAACAACAGCCAAGGAGGCCTCCTTTTTCAGGGATGTCTTTTTGAAGCAGTAAATAATAGTGTGGGAAGTAAAGAACAAACTTCCCAGCAAACAGGTTATTCCCAGATGCTCTGTGTATTGAGCCACTCAGAAGTGGGTGGCAGGAGCTCAGGCAACAGTGGGAAATGGTTTATTTTTCTCCTCCTTGTGATGAATAGCAGGATCTAGCCAGAAATAAAAGGAGGCTGAAGAACAGACTTGCATTTATTTATTTGATTCAGACTTGTATTTATTTTTTTTAATGTGTTGAGTAATGAATGAAAAGAAACACAAAGCTACAAGAAAACCATCAGTTCAGGTAGGATATGAAATGGTAAGGAATATATGGATTTCTTTTTCTTTAGATCTTGTCCCTGAATTTGCTGACATTGATAAAACAAACCCAAACTGTGTGGTTATCGGAGATGCGGCAGAAAATTTCTCCTATGCAAACCTTAATGAAGCTTTCAGAGTTCTGATTGGATTGGAGAAACCTGTTTTGATCTCCCTTGGAAAAGGGTGAGTTGAGCACTACTTGTTTCTCCCTCTCATCTTTCTATTTTTTAATTTCACCCAGTGCCTTTGTACTTAGTGGATGCCAGATATTGGCATAGGCTTTCACGCTTCTAAGTGGTTCATCGATGTGTCTAAATGGAGAGGTTGATCTGTTGAGGTATCTGTCAATGAAAGATCCTCAGTGGATCTTTGAGGATCGTAATTCAGTCACCAAACTTGGCCTCTTGTCTTGAGTCACTTTTGTTTTGTAGTCTTTCCAGAGATACAAGGAGAAACTGAAGTGAGAAGATAAAGGGTGGTATGGATGCAGCACTCATTGGGATGAGACCCAGATCATCACTGTGCAGGTTTGCAGAGAGCACTGGCAATCTCTCAGCATGCAATGCTAAATCCTCCAGCTAACTTAGCAAATGCCCATCAGGAGGTCTCTGTGATGCACTGGGTGGGGCATCTCTTGAATTTCAATTGTTGATGGTCATTTTTCTGCAATGCCCAAACTCCACCAAAATTGTAGTGCAGGTGGGGGCTATCTGGCTGCAAGCAAAGCGTGGTGGCTGAGGAGACCTGTGTGGAGAGCCCAGTGATATACTGAGAAATGGCTTGGCTGATAGGTATGATGAAGACCTGCAAAAGCACCTCTGCTTTTGAACTGACAAATCGGTTGCTTTGATAGTATAGGTGTCAAAAGATATTTTTTAATTATACTCTGAACATTAAAGTGAAATTTTGACTGCTTATTTTCATAGGCAGAAAAAGTCCAGTTCGGGAATTTTGAATGTTTTAGTTAAAAAGTTCATTTAGATGTGTTCTGAGATGGTGAACAGGTGCTTATTAACGACAATGCTGTATAATGACAAATCCCAGTGGCCTTTGAGGAGTTATTCTTATCTGTTGCCCTGTGTATGGGCTTAAAAAAGAATATGCCTGTTTAGTCTGAGGAAACCACGGAGACTTTTTTTCAGTGGTTCAATAGACCATAATGAGCGTGAAAGCCCTTCTGAGTTGGTGGGTTATTGATCCAGAAGGTAGATCTTATCAGCGAGGAGCAGTTAAATCCATTGTGTTGCCAATCCTTTCACTCACATGCTCTGATCCTATAAACCAGGGGAAAAAGTCCATGCGATTTTTCTGTTGGAAGGATAAGGAAAAGCCATTATAAGCCAACAGCACAGTGGCTAATGTATGTAAAATAACCAAGCATTGTGTGGCATCATACCATCTTTCAAAATGAAATACAGAATCTACCTTTAAGATTGCAACATGAGCAATGCCAGAAAGCCCTTGTGCCCTGTGCATATAAAAGTATTATTTTGTTTAGTCCTTCATTGATGCAGACAGCTCCAGAGCAGGCCCACAGTTTGTTTGTTTGGTGGGGTGTGGGTTTTATCATTTTTTTTATTTTTTTTTATTTTTTTAATGAAGAATAACCCATGTTTGGATTTCCTGAGCTCAGTTTTTGCTCTTCTACAATCAAACTTCTAGATACTGTGAATCAGAGTTCTGCAGAACTTGCTGAATAAGTGAGGTAAAAACTGTGGTAGGTAAATTTTCAGACCTGATGAATGGAGATTATAAACTGGATGAACTGCTTGGCAGTTTATAGCTAAGATGCATCATCGATGCCAAGAGTCATGTGAAAAAACCAACAAACCACAAGTCAGCTTTCTTGCTCATGTGCAGAATCAGTGTGCGAGAACCTTAACAACTCCTCTACCTGGAGCAAGCAGGTTGATTTCTGTTGAAGTTTTAGTTCGTTCCATGGAAAAGGAAAGCGTCAGAGTCAGTGAAGCAGAATGCCCTCCTCCTGAAAATGGAGTGATTTACATTTAGCATCTGTTTTGGGCTGAGAGTGGGAATTGGCTTTGTAATTTCTTCTGTCATGCCACTGTCAGAAAATTAAGCTGTTTACGCTAGACTATAGAAGGTTAATGGCTGTTCTAGCAAAGGTCAAGTGGTCATTTTAAAAGGAGGCAGTGCTGAATAATCGAAAATGGCAGAAGGATAAGGCATAAAATCTTCACTGACTGCTCATCCCACTTTTTTTTCCTGTCATACAGAAACCCATCTTTGCTCTGATCAGGACAGCTTAGAAGACCTGTGTTAACATGAATGGTTATTCAAGAAAAGGTCCATAAAGACTGTAATTAATTTTGTGAACTCCATAGCAATAGCAACATTTTTGGAAGGAGTAAAATCTAGTTTTGAGGACATTCTCAGTCCTGATAAATATAAAGGCAAGTAAAGGCTGATGACAAGCAATGGTGGTCTCCTGTCTGGGGCCTCCTTCCAGATTTACTAAAGGAGATCTTGCATCTACCAAGGAGTACCTCTGCCTCTGACCAAAACAAGAGCAATGTGCCTGCTGTCCTTTGTGAGAAAGGAAGTAGAAAATGTGAAGTAGAAGTAGAAAATGGGGCAACTTCATCCCTAAAATAAACTTGAGGAAATCCCTTTGGATGAGTAGAGTCGTATCCCAGATGGCAGATGGGCACCTGGTCTGAAATCTTTGCACAGTGCTGAGCCTGCTCTTTACTTAATTCCTGGTGCTAATTTAAGGCTTCAGAGTTTCTGATGACTTGACTTTTTGTTGCAGCCATATGGACATCTGTATAGGCAGAGAAATAATAAAATGTAGTTTCTTTGGATTTAACTGCCAACATTTTCATTTCATTGGAACTTTATCACTTTCATTTCCAGACGCTACTATAAAGAAACTGATGGTCTGAAACTTGATGTTGGAGCATATATGAAGGCATTAGAGGTATTTTATAGCTTGCATTATGCTTACTCGCTCTGTGCACCTTGTTAAAGAGTCACTGGCATGAATATGGGTCATCATCTGTAATTACTCTCCTTGGTGGAGAAAGTTTTCACAGACTGAAACCCATTTGCTGCATTCTAAAGATGGCTGGATTTATATTATTCATTTTTACTATATTTAAAATGTGAACTTTTAACATCATGGTATCTTTATTGGAAGTGAGGCCCTTGAAAGAAGGAACTGGAAAACAAGAACACAGTATATTTTCTGCAAGATATCCAAGAAAAAACTGAAGGTCCATTAATGTTTGGCACAGCATTGTTAACACAGCCCCTTGCCCTTAGCAATTTACAGCATAAAGTCCTTATTCAGCAAGATACTTCTATGCAGTCTGTTTTTAAGCCAAAGTCTGTGCAGAACCCAGTAGATAAGCTGACCTAAGGGTGAGAGGAGGGAACAATCATTACTCTCTTTAAAGAGGCTTGCAAAAAAAAAAAAAAAAAATCATATTGAGTGAATGTGAATAATAAAACAAAGTAGGCAAGTATACAAGCACAGAAGATAGTGGATGTAACGTATGCTTGAAGCACATTCATTTGGATAAGTTTCAGAGAGATTTTCTGCCTTCCCAAAAAGTTTGGACTTTTCATCATGGAACAAGCTAGAAATGCTTTATGTACTCAAGTCTTCAGCACGTTGCTGGAGAACAAAGCTTTTCAACTCGGACTGCTTACTTTAGCCATTAAATTATGCAGGGAGGTTGAATGAACTCTCCACATCTTTTAATGTGAAGGCTATTTGTTATTTCTGTCAGAGTGAGGCTCTCACAACCTGGAGGGATAGTGGAACTGACTCGGTAGGCTGCTGTCACGACAGAGAATCAAGCAGGTTTGTAGCTCGAGATGCTTCAAGAGGACTTTCTCTTTTGACAGAGAACGCTGAACACTCCTGTTATCCAAGCTACCAGATAGTAATCTTCACCTGCTAACCCATCGTGTTACTTAAGGCTGAAACTCAATAATTACATACTTTTTATACAATTGACTGAAGCTACGAAGTTGAACAAATCCTTTTCTGATCTTAATAGTAGTCATCTGTGTCTTCCTCTCTCTTTTTTTTTTTTTCCAGTATGCCTGTGATGTTCAAGCTGAAGTAGTGGGCAAACCAGCAAAAGCATTCTTTGAGTCAGCCCTAGCAGAAATGGGAGTTCGACCAGAGCAGGTAATGGTTCTGAATGATGGAAGATGTTGTGCTTCACAAGATAACAGCTGCTCTGAGGGCTGCAGCGAGGGGGATTTGTAACTAAAATGTTATTTCCTTTGCTGTCACATTTGCTATTATTTTTAGTATGGTTCCTAAAGGGAAAGACAGGAAGCACCGACCAGCCCAAATCCCCTCTCATGTTGCTGGTTTCATCAGGCTTTCCAGAAATACACTGAGTGTGTGGGATGCTCCCTGCTTGCTTAGTATGGCCCATTTTTTCCCTCTCTATAGTTGTGCCCTCTTTATTGATCTGTTGTTATATCACACAGGACATAAGGATGAGTACGAAATGACTAACAGACGGCAGTGAATTACAAGGTAATAACTCCATCACAGGCTTCTGGTGACATCATAAACAATTGGAGTGAAGTTTGGGTGGCTTGTAGGTCCCTGGAGCCTGGAGATGAAATTATAGCCTTGTAATTCACTGTGTGCTTGAGTTTTACTTTATTATAGAGTGAGAAGATGGAAAAGACCTAGTAGGCCATCTCATCCATCTCCTTCCCCATGCAGGAATGTTCCCTGCTCCATGTTTATCCATATTTTGTCCAGAGAGTTTTTAAGTGAGCAAAAACAGGCTTTTTAAAGTTCCCTAGGGACAGTATTCACAGCTTAGTAGATCTCATGGGCAGGCAGCTTTTTCTGACATTCAATGAAATGATCTCCATTTAAACAATATATCCTTCTTTTCATTTTACTCTAGGTAACAACCAAAAAATAACTGGTTTCCTTCCTGGATGTTTTCTTCTTCCAGTTATCTCTGGGCTCCTTATCATTACAGTGGCTTTCTCTTACTAAAATTGTGTGTTTAGCTCTCAGCAACTTTCCTTGCAGTTCAGTCCCTCTGCCCCCTAACCCAGCATGGGGTTCTTTTCTCTACTGCTTTCAGTTTGTCAATATCTTCCCAATAACATGATAGCTCAGCCTGAACAAAATATCCTAGATATTGAGCAATTACTCAATCCATTCATCCAACCAACAAGCCAAAAAATCCATTTCAGAAACAGAATGGCATCTGAAGAAAAAGTAGCTGGAAAAAAAGAAAGAACAAAGGAAAGAAAAAAAAAAAAAAAAGCCCACATACATAGCTCAGCCCTTGGATTCTATGCCTCTCATTCAGAGGCATGAAGATTTGTTTTCATTCTGCTTGTATGAGATGTGAATGGTATGCTGCTCTGGGCTTTTCCAAGGCTCGGTGTAGTGCCATTGCTTGCCCTTTTCCATAGGTAGACAATGTGGTGGTCCTCAAGCTTTCTTTTACCTACTTTGCCAACATGTCAGCCCCTGCCACTATGGGGAACATCATTACAGGGATGTTTCAACACAGGACTGCAACACCACAACTTGTTTCTCAGTGAGTTTCTTGTTTCTCGTTGCCCTGGCAAATGAGATTTGAAGAGATGATTTAATCACAGAACCATAGAATGGCCTGGGTTGCAAAGGACCACAATGCTCATCTAGTTTCAACCCCCTGCTATGTGCAGGGTCACCAACCAGCAGACCAGGCTGCCCAGAGCCACATCCAGCCTGGCCTTGAATGCCTGCAGGGATGGGGCATCCACAGCCTCCTTGGGCAACCTACAACAAACTACAGAAGAGCATGTGGATTTTCCTAACTTCTGAGCACTTAACTTTGCAATTTTAATGCTCTTTTGAGGCAGATTTTTTGGGTTGTATTAGACATGCAAAATAATAAAAACTCAGGGTATGTTGTTCAATAGGTTCCTTAATCAGTAGCACATTGTGTTACATTTTAATCTGTCTCCCGACTGAGCTTTATGTCTTTGTAATGGCAAGATGAGGACTGGCTTTACTAGCCTTTACTTTTATAAAATGTTTGCCAGTAATTTATTCCACCTGTGGAATGCATTTAATCCATTAAACTATTCTAGATGAGCTGTGCTTTTGAAAACATATTACAATTTTCTTCTACCTGACTTTTAATGAGAAGTATCTTTTTAATAAAGCTGTCTCACCGCAGTAATGCTAGACAGTGGCAAACCTGAAATTTCTCAAGCTGCTTTAATCAATAAAGTTATCACCAGTCATTTCCCTTGGTAACTGCTTCTTACTGAGACCCCGACTTTACCTTCTGCTGCCGAGATGTTTTCAGCCTGCACTTAGAATGGGAGGAACTCCCTGAAGTCCAATTTTCATTTTAACCTTTCCTCAATGGCCTAGAAATAACAGATTGCCAGTATTACTTTAATAGATTGGAAATTTAAACCTCTTAGAGGTAACCAGATTTGTCTTATGATTCAATAGTACGACAAAGAATAACACATCTTAAAGGTTACCGAGATACCTAATTCGTATGTTTTAAGGCAGCTGGAACAGTGGGTGATTTTTACAGCTTTACAATAAAACCTAAATAATGTTAAGGTTCCCCTAGTTTTATATAATCATAAAGAAGTTCTATCTGTAGCAAATTGTCCTGCTTTGCCCGGAGTTATGGCAGGTCATACTGGAGTGCATAAAGCCCTGGTAGTTAACCAGTTCCATTGCTGCCACCTGCACACCTCAGGTGGGGGTCAGCAGTGCATGAGAGCAGAGCTGGGTCACCCCAAGGTCTGCTGCTGTGCAGCCATCCCTTCCCCAATCGCCAGGATAACAGGAAGGTTCTCCATCTCAGGAAGAAGAGTTAAGCAGCCATGTGAAGTTTCAAACACTCTCAGGGGGAAGTTCTTCACTATGAGAGTGGTGAGGTGCTGGAACAGCTGCCCAGTGAGGCTGTGGATGCCCCATCCATCCCTGGAGGTGTTCAAGGCCAGGTTGGATGGGGCCCTGGGCAGCCTGGTCTAGTATTAGATATGGAGGTTGGTTGCCCTGCATGCAGCAGGGGGTTGGAGCTTCATGATCCTTGAGGTCCCTTCTAACCCAAGCCATTCTATGATTCTATGACTCTATGATTCTATGATTCTAAGATCCACTGGCCTGGCAGGTCTCAGCACCTTTGGAAATCTGCCCCGGAGATGTCATGTATTTCTTTTTTTGTTTCACCTGCCTTGTTGTACAAATTCTGTGGGGTCAGAGGCCACGGGTGATGCCCTATGCATGTTTGATGTTTGCGCAGCCTGGATAGAAATGTAATTAACAGAATTATGGGATCTTGAAGCCTAGCAGATTACCAGCTGGGCCATGGGGAATAGGGAGAAAGGTAAATGCATCATATTTCTAGGGCAAAGGCTCTTAACACATCAAGATTTTGTGCAGCAGCTTTATTTTATTTTATTTTTACACTGTTGGCACACTTAGCTTGGTTATTAAGCCTATAGCAAAAATCTGCTTTGGCTTCAATACTTTTGGCTCTAGAATCATTCGTTGTATTAAATACATTGCTGAAGCATGCTTCCCTCTTTGAATCTTCATGTTTGCACCTTCCATAGACTTCAGCCTCTAATATACTGTGTGTGCGCTCCTCCCAGCAAGCGGGGCATTGCAATACAAGCAGAGCCATGTAGTGGGGAATAAAGGCTATTTAGACTGGAGCTATTCAGCAGCAATGGCTTTGCTCAGCTTTGGCACACGTCTGCTTTATTTATCATATTCATACAGCCACACACCATCTCTCATCAGCTGTAAGGTTTAGGAAAATATGAATTATACCCATCTTAATTCTTTAATGATTTTCTAGCAGCCAGAGAGACGTCTCACTGCATTCTTGTCCTTTCCAATAATTTTTTACTTGATGTAGAACAGTACCTTCCCCAAACTGATTGAATGGATGAATGGTGTGGTTCCCATGTAAAATTTGAAGGCGAATGGGGATCTTTTGATTCCTTCTTTCAGTGGGTATGTGACCTTCCAGTTTTATATTTCTTTCTCTTCTTACCATATTGCAGTCAGAGAGGAAGTTAAACCCAGGTTTGACAGGTAGAGTTTTTTTTATTTCCCTTGACAGCGCACCTTTTGACCTCTATCTTCTTGCCAATGATTTTTTAAATCCTAAATGATTTGGGAATAATTGCTCCTCCTTTAGTGATTATTGCCCTTCACCGATAGTAAATCTGTGAAATCCCCCGGGGCTGGAGTACATTTTGGTATGCGTATGCCACAAGCTGGCCTGGACAGGCATCGCTGCTCATGTGCAGCTGCACTTGCAGAGCTGCTGTGTGTCTTGCAGGAAAACTTGCCTGGATGGAGTGAAATACAGCCCTGGTGAGCGCGCTTCTCCCCGGGGCTCAGAGCCACCCCTCTCTGCCCTTTCCTGCGTTCTGAACACATTCATTTCCAGTGTTTTGAGGATCCAGGAGTGAAAACAAAGGATATATACACAAATAAGAAAAAAAAAAAAAGAAGAAAAAAAAAACAAGAAAAGCACAGAATCTGGCAAAACTGTTCTCCGCCAACTACTGTTACCGATTTTCCCCCAGGCTGTTTTGAGAAATGTAATCACTGCCATCATTCTGTTCTCTTCACCTACGTATTCATGCTTTATTTACTCATTACTTGAAATCAAGCCTTCCTCATTTCACGCCTGTTTAGTGCAGTGGTAGGGAAAGGTGAGCTATCTGCAGGGAACCATACATCTTTCTGGGAGCACTTGTGTTTCCATAAGCAGAGTGGATAAGGAAAATCATCCAGTAATGAAAGGATGAAAAAAGATTGAGCCCTCTAACGTGTGGTGGCTTTGAAGCAGTTTGTGGGCAATGCCATCTGTCCCAAAGCCTCCTGCTGCTCCTTCCCTATGGCCGTGTTTCCCCAGCTCTGTGTTCCCATCAGTTTTTGTCTCCTTGCTCCTTAGAGAGGCTCTCAAAGGGTGATCGCAGAGGTTTTGCTCTTAGGCAGAATGAAGCAAGGGTGTGCATATATGAACTGCTTCAAAACAAACTGTTTCAGCATGGAACCAGACAAATGAGCCTTGACTTGCAGGGATGGCCTATTACATCCCATCACCTGAGGGATGATGATAATCCTTCACATGAATGGTATTTAAAAGCAACATGAAAGATGAACTGGGCTGGTAGCTACTGTATGTAATCTTGCATGCTGTACCTGATGCATTACTCAAAAGAGGATTTGTGTTTTATCAGCTGAAGCTGTTCCAGATGTACCTATCTCAGTTAGGTACATGAAGGCTCTCAGAAAATAATCTGTTTAGATGGGTTTTAGGTGTATCCTGAAATTTCCTTTATGTGCTATTTAATAAGTAGGAGAAGGTTCTGTTGTAATCAGATGACGATTAAAAATAGCTCTGGAGCCTTAGTACTTTTAGTCTTCTATATATTTAACTTAATCCTGCCCAGCAGACAGCTTACAGAGTGGGAACTGCACTTTTTGTTAAAATAGAGATGACAGAAGGAACTGATCCCATCTTTCCAGCTGCACAGCCATGGCCCTGTCTCATGCATGGCACCCATAGCTCAGTCCCAGAGCAGCTCCCTGCCTGACAGCATTAAAGAGAGCTCCAAAGAGTTTCCTTTATGTTCCTGGGGACACAGAAGGAGGAAGAGAGTATACATGCATGCAGGGGAAAAGACTGCCTATGTAAGGTGCTGCCTTGGATCCCACTGGGGTTTGGTATTGTGATCTCATCTGTGATGATGAGATGGGTTGGTGCAGAGAGAGGTAAGAGCAGGACAGAGCAGGACAAGCAGGCTGGTTGCTTGACTAGAAATAAGCAATTGCAGCATGAATTCCTATTGTGATTTGGTTGCAAAAAGGGCTTGGAAAGTTTGGGTAAATGGATGTATGAACAGGAGAGCAGCCAGGAGGAGTTTAGGTCTTTGTCGTGGAAATTCTGTTCACATTCTGGTGTTCCCATTTGGATATGGGTCAGCTGAAAAGGTATAGGGAAGAACTGCAAGTGAGCTGAGAGGGATGAACGAAATTGGAGCAAATGTGTTTCAGCTTAAGACACTGTTTTACAGTATTTTTTTATACACTCTGGAAATTCATTTCATGGAGAGAACGCACAAGATACCAAACCATCACTTTCTGACCTTGATGATTAGCTGAAGTGATAACTGAAATTATGCCTGCTAGAAAGACTTCTGCTTTCAAAATGTAAAAGCAGTTTCTTCAGTATGAAAAGCAACGCTTTCCTTACTTTTCCTTACACTTTACCTTTTTTTGATAGTGTGCTCAGTTGAGTTCATTAGTCACGTTGTGCACAAATTGATAAATTAGATTTTGCACTCATGGAAGACTTCCCAAATTTTTATATGAACCTGAAAATGGGTTGGAATCAAACTCTGTAAATTACACATTTCAGTGATCACAAGCTTAAGGTTTTGCCCAGCTCTTAGCATATCAATTTTAAGGAAATGTTTAAAAAGAAGACCTTAATTTAAACTACTTGGAGCATAACATAAAGGCATGGTGAGGAACTGAACGGGACTAACTTCATAAAATTCAACATTTTCTTTGAACTGTGTGCCACATCACTTTGATTTTCGTGATTGATTACAAATTGTACAGATGTATACTGCACCAGTGTATTGCTCAAGGAGCTATCGCCTGAATTATATTCAAGGTAGAATGACATTTAATCAATACGATGACAATCTTATCTTGTTTAATTTGTCTGATGGCAGTATTAAACATCAAATCAAGCTGTTTATTATGTCAAAGGAGCGTGAGGGATGGCAGAAATAAAATTCTCTTGACACCGATTTTTCCGTATTTCACTGCTCTGACAGGCCATCATGATTGGAGATGATATCGTGAGCGACGTCGGCGGCGCCCAGCAGTGCGGGATGAGGGCAGTGCAGGTGCGGACAGGAAAGTACAGGTCAGTGTGATCCCTACAGCCTTGGCTCCATCCAGGTCATCGTGGAAAGAGGGGAAATAGCTGTACTCAATGATTTTTGCACTTGCCTTTTGGCCAAGCGACGCCATGCTCTTAATTCTCACTCAACACGTTGATTTCTAAAAGAAGAGTTATGGTTTCAAACTTGGTACGCCTCTGAATAGTGCTTCAGATTGAATGCATGAGACCTGTCTGGTTGTTTGTTTTCTGTGCCTTTTTCCAGATTTTTACCTGTTGGTGGCACCCATTTGCCATCCATGTGTATTTCCATTTGTTGCCTGAACAAATACTTCTTTGTGCAGCCGTCAGGCTTGGCTGCATGATGGTGCTTTCCTTTGCAAAATGCATCTTGAGTAAAGACTGTGTGAAAGCAGCAGGAAGGGGAGGCATGTTTTCTTTGATCCTGGCTGGATGTGGCTCTGGGCAGCCTGGTCTGGTGGTTGGCAACCCTGACCTTGGCAGGGGGGTTGAAATTACATGATCATTGTTGTCCTTTTCAATCCAGGCCATTCTATGATTCTATGATTTTCAAGAGATATTTTCTGTTAAATTACTGCTGTAATATTTCATCTAAAATTACAGCAGTAATTCTGCATCACATTTAGTGTACAGAACTGTTTGTTTCTTGAGTTTTGCTTATTTATTTTTATACTAATGTGAGTGTTCTCTGCTTGATACGAGACACATCTGAAACTTCTAGCAGCATCAAGACGTTTAATTAAACTACCAACTAGGTGGTCCCTGTGGGTTATCTCTCATAGCCCTATGAAGGACTCTGTACGTCTCCTCTTTTCTCCACACATATTTTCAGCCCAGAGAAGTCTGGAATGTGAGAGCTGTCTTTCCACTTCATGTCTAAACCAGAGCAAGCTTCTGCAGACTTGCTCACCTTTCTAATGGCCCTTCAGACCTTTCTCCATGCAGGTGTCTCCATCATCACGTGTGTTCACTGACAGAGGAGCTATTGATAGTCGCTCCTGGCAGAAGACTTGAGTGCAGTTAAATAAGGCAGAGTTCAGGGGCACCCAGTGGAAAATGAAGCCACTATGCACTGCCCAGGCAAGGTTGAAGTCAACTCAGGGTGACTCTCTAAATGCAGTGCAGACATCGGTCCCTACATTTAACATTTTAGCTATACCTCCTCACAGTAGGCATGGTTTGGTAACCATGTCTGTAATTTGATGTAAGGTGGGCTGTGGGATTGGTGCTTGCCATTGACTATCTGCAATGTTACTTCGTTAGTTTTCGAGTGTTTTTTCTCTCTCTTAATTTGGGTTTATATAAGTAAATGAAATCATTCTGATGGACCAGTAAGTGATGATTTCTGAGGAAGAAAGTACGTCACTTGTAATATCCTGGTTATTTATCTGTGATCTGTGTAATCCTATTAACTCCCTACAGGAGAATTAGGATTGAACAGTTGGTTTTCTCTGATATTGATGGAGATCACCGGGAATCATTTTGTGAATCCACATTTTAATGTCACACAGATACCCGTATCAGTGAAGGAGGTCTGTGTGACAACAGAGATAAATTCGACCCTTGCTACTGAGCCAGTCTGCTGACACAGAGCAGTGTGCTGCACCCAAGTACCTCTGGATGGCACCATTAGTACATTTACTTCAGAATTAGCTACCACTTCGAGAGCAATCCTGAAAGCCAAGGCTGTTTCTGCAAATGAAGTAAAAAGCAAATCGGCTTCAGGGTTTTACTGGAGATGCTGGGTGTTGGCATGGTGGGATTTCCAGACATTTTGGTTGTGAGAGCCTTGCAGTCCAGAATATGGGGCATCACCCTAACTGGGTTGCTTTTGTGTTTCTGTGCTGAGTGATTTTTTCCATCTCCACCACAAAGGTGGAGTCTTCAACAGAACGGGTGCAAAGCTGATTCCAAAGTACAACAGACAATAATAAAGTAGAAGAATTGTTGCAAGTGCATTTCACATCACACTGCTGGATATGGGGAAATTATAGGTCTTGCAGAGGTTATCCCAGTTAAGGCACATTGTTCTGCACATTGTTCTGCAGATCCAAGGGATTCTCTTGTTCTCCTCCTCTCTTATTGAAAAACTGACCCTAACACCTTGTTATCTGCTGTGCATTTCGGGCAGCATTCCTTCATTCAGGAGCTACTGCAACTTATACCAACAACCCATGGACCTGCTGCCAGCCAGGGGTTTCACACTGCAGCACAAAATATAGCATACGAGCCAAGGCTCACTGTACTGTTTATTGTATTTCAAAGGGATTCCAGTGGCTGTGAGCAGATTATGGAATGCAAAGCAAATTCTGTGTTACAGGCTGAGGTGTTTGGCTGTGCAGGTGATGATTTGGGGTCCAGGGAGGAGCAGAAGGGGTATAAGGAGAGCGTATCTGTATCTGTGTTTACCTTCTCAAAGGCACTTTATCCTCCAACAGTACATTGGAGTTGCACTCTTCTTCAGCAGCCAAACCATGTGTGGAGGAGATAAGTCCATAAAGCGTAATAAATCACAAAATAAAGTTTATCATAACTCCCTAAATAAAGTTATTAAATGATCCTAAAAAGCAGATTTTCACCTGCAGATAGAAGGACAGCAATCACAGCCTGTAACAGTCAATGAAAGATCATGGCTTGTTTTGTAAAGCAGCAGTCACGTCCTGATGCTATGCAGTGTTGCTACTTGAAATAGAAGCAGCATCACTCCCACCCTTGCTTTCTTGTTTACTGAATTACTAACCACAGCCAAGATGAACAATTTTATTAGCTTGTTCATGTTTCATGGGGCTTGATGGAGCATACCAGAAGTAGGTACTGAAAGGAACACGCAGCGGCACTCCCTTAATGCTGAAACAGAACCAGAGGCATTTTGATGGCCTCACAGTCCTGATGATGACACCCACTTCACATATTAAATGGAAAGACTTCCAACCCATATTTGTGCTATAAAAGATGCATTATAATTTATGTTAGTGTCTTAAGCAATGTTCATTAAAATCCAGTGTCAGCAAGTCGGCTTTCATTTTATTCACAGCATCAGAAGGTGTTGTCTTAGTCATCGTTCATTACACATCCAAATCACAGTTTGTTCCCTCTGTGTGAGGAGCTTTGCATGTGTTTATCAATTTCTTGACCACACTTTGGTTACTGTCATCTATGGTTCAGTTTTGTGAGGGAAGCTCAGAGTTAATACTGCAGAGCCTTAGCATATGAACACACACCTGATGACAGCCTTACATTTCCCCATGTGTTCAGAAAGTTCAGGTACAGAAATCAGAGTTTAAGCCTCAGGTGCTGTAGGAGTGAAGGGCGTATGAACAGGTCTAAGTTCCTGATGTTGTAACAGGGTGTTACAGACCAACCAGCTGCTCGTCATCGTAGGATATCATAGAATCATAGAATCACAGAATGGCCTGGATTGAACAGGACCACAGTGCTCACCCAGTTCCAACCCCCTGCTATGTGCAGGTCACCAACCAGCAGACCAGGCTGCCCAGAGCCACATCCAGCCTGGCCTTGAATGCCTGCAGGGATGGGGCATCCACAGCCTCCTTGGGCAACCTGTTCCAGTGCCTCACCACCCTCTGGGTGAAAATATAACTAACTACAATGCAAAATAAAGCAATGCATTGGAAATACTTTACCACTGAACTGCAAGTGGTGAATTTGGAAGTAGAACATTTTATCATTTAACTCCAAGGAGTCTTCCTTGGTGTGACTTCAGTTCTTCTGTTTCTCTACCTGAATGTTGCCATGTTTTCTGTAGTAGTCCAACTCTAATCAGCTGCTACATCTGAAACATTGATGAAAGGAAGCAATTTGCATGTAGCAAATCAAGCTGGTAGTGAGCACATCAGCTTGTAATGCACTTTTGCTTTCCCTGTTTCCCATAATGCAGTCAGGCTGTACAGGTTTCCATTCCTCCTACACTGAAATGAAATAAAGGACAGTGAGAGGACAAGACACTACTGGCAGCAGCAGCTACCAGCATATATGTGGGTACCAACAGAGCCTGTGGCAACTTCAGGCTGCCAAGCTGCTTGCCCAAAAAGATGCTGTTTCTCTCCTCCCCTCAGATACATAACTCACAAGCCCAGAAAAACAGCCCTGGTGGCTGGAATGAGTGAAAGGAAGCAGCTCATGGGCTTCCCAGGGCTGCTCTCCCGCTCTGCACCCACTTCCACTGCATGCACCTGAGGTCTGTCTGGGATCTGCCTGTCTAAGGGGACCTGCAGCATCCCAGAGGGCAGGGCCACCCCTAGCTCCTGTTGGACACCCAGCTTCCCTTTCTGCTATCAGCCCCAAAACCACAGTCTGCAAGATGGGACAGGAAACAGGCTCTCATTTATTTTTATCTTTAGCGGCCTTTTCTCAGTGCCAATGTAATGTTGCAGTAGAAAAATTCCTCAGCAGAACAGTCATGGGAGCTGGTCGAGCACAGCAGTGTTTCTCAACACTTGTCGCTTGCAGAATGCCAAGCTGCATTAGCTTGTTCAACATTTGACAGCAATGATGAATACCATACCAATAGCTAACTGCTTTATTTCCGTAAAAATGCTAATAAGCGTGTTGAAATGTGCTGCAGCAATGGCAGAGCTGGGACAGCTGCACAATTGTGGTTTCGTTTGAGATTTCCTTTTTTAAAAAGCAGGTTCCTCTTCTCGCTGTGTTTTTCTGCCGTAGTTAAATGCCATCCCAGCTCATTGGGTTGGTGGAGTTCTGCACTGGCTCTCAAACGGAGAGCACGGCGAGAGGGGACTGCTCTGATACAACCAAAGCACAGCATTCAGTTCAAAGAAAGGAGCAAACAAACAAGTGAGAAGCAAGCCAAATTAGCTGCTGATGTAACTCGCTCGAAGCAAACGATTCAGTATCTGAAATTCAATCTTCCTTCTGGCTGGGGCTCTTGCTCAGCCAGTAATCACACCGAGGAGCGGCTGTGCTGGGCAGTACCTTGTGCCTGCACACAGCAACCAAGAATTCATGCCTCGGTGCTGTGCTGC